TAAGGGTTGGAGGGCTTAGCTTGGGGTTTTGAACTACAGGGATTTGGATGCTAGCTTTTTTCCGAGTTCTGAATATAGGACTCCTACCTTTAGGTAATAGATAGGAGATGGAGAATCTGTTTTTGCCTATGCCAAATCTTGTATCGATAGCATGATACATCCGTGGCTAGAACAGCCAAAGGGGATAGTGGGGGGAGACGGTAACGTACCATTCCTGGTTATGAGCGCAAAACCAGATGCAAAAGAAAACATCTAGTCAACCTGGGTATGCATGCTCCTGAAAATATGGCATTCAGTTTTGAACCCAGATTTTATATGCTGACTCACCAAGTTTTTATTTATTAGCAATATGTTAAACATATTAAAACCATTTAAAAAGCAGTGCCTTGCTTGCTATCTGGCACATAATAGGCACTCAGCTTTGACAAAGGAATCAACATCATTGTCTTTGACCAAGCTGGGCATGGTGGGTGCCCCGTGAAGCTTGGAAACCAGGAGTATGTGGTAGTTTCTCCTACTTACTGACACAGACACCTCTGAAGATAGAAGCCTCTCCAGGGGTGGCCCCCTGATTAATTTGTGCCTTGAGTCAGGGTTGAGCCAGTCTCCCCTACCTTTCTCAAGGCCATGTTACCTTTCTCTGCCTGTCCAGGTGGCTCACTGGTAAAGAACCCACCTGCCGATGCAGGAGACATAGGAGACCCAGGCTTGATTCCTGGGTCAGGAAGATCTCTTGGAATAGTAAATGGAAACCCTCTCCAGTATTCTTGTCTTGAAAATTCCATGGACAGAGGAGCCTGGTGGGCTGCAGTCCATGGGGTCACAAAGACACGACTCAGACACAACTGAGCGACTGAGCATACACACGCAGGCTCCTAACTTGGCCTAAGGAGAAAACTAACCTCCCTGGTCCCTCCTGGGTCCAAGAGGGCTTGTGCTGCCCTCTGTGGGTGATACTGTTGCCTTAGTTTTACTCTTCTGCTGTTAGCCTCACCCGTTCCCATTCAGATTACCAAACAAAGCCTCAGAGCTGAACAAGACAGTAGCCTTCCACCTCCAATACCGCATCAGCGCGGTATTCAACGTCACCCCTTTGCCCAGAAACTTTCAGTGGATTCTCACTACCATTCAAGTCTCTCCACACCAACTCTTGTCTCTCCAGTTACCTCTGTCTACTCTCCTGGCTAAATCCCTTACTTTAGCCAAACTGGTCTGTTCATTTTCCCCAAAAATCTGACCTTCTTGCCTTTATACCCTTTCTCACTTGTTTAAAAATACCACTTTCAAAAAAAAGCAACAACAAAAACCCACTTCTAGGATCTGCAAAGTTACCCAAGCTTCCCTGGTGGCTCAGATGGTAAAAAATCTGCCTGCAATGTGGAAAACCTGGGTTTGATCCCTGGGTTGGGAAGTTCCCCTGAAGAAGGAAATGGCAGCCCCCTCCAGTTTTCTTGCCTGGAGAAGCCCCATGGACAGCGGAGCTGGTGGGCCACAGTCCATGGGGTCACAGAGTCAGACACAACTGAGTGACTAAGCACAAAGTTACCCATGACCTCTCTAATAACAGGAAATGTTTTTCAGGAATTCCCTGGTGGTCCAGTGGTTAGGGCTCAGCGCTGTCACTGCCAGGTCCCCGGGTTCGATCCCTGGTAGGGGAACTAAAATCCCATAAGTCATGTAGTGTGGACAAAACAATAACACAAGGACGCTTTGCTTCTCAGTTTGGCTCCTTTAGCTCTGTTAGCCCAACTCTTTCAACGCTTCCCACACATCATCTTGGATGGCTGGATATCATGATCATACATTCAAAATTTTACAATTTATTTTTGTAACCCAAATAATTCCTATTGCAAAAGACCCAAATAATACATAAATGTTCAGAGCAACACATAATACTTATTCCCCTCTGCTCACTCTGTTCCCAAAGGTAACCACCCTCAGTTGTTTGGTGTGCATCCTCTAGTTCCTTTTCTAAATATATGTATCTATCCATATTTGGGAAGGGGTTAAAATACAAAGGGACTCATATCACATGTATTAGTCTAGTTTCTTTTTTTTTTTTAACTTAAAGGTATATATGCTTGTCTTGGAGGTTTTCTGTATTAGTATATTTTGGTTTTCCCTCTAATGGTGTCTCAGTTTTGCATAGTATATTTACTCAAAGCATATTTGTCTAGAATCTTGTATGGAGAGTATTGTGCAGCTGGCACCTACGGGACTCCAGATATGATCACAGCCTTGTCCTTGCCATCGGTGAGTTCACTCTTGAGAGGGGGAGGGAGGAGCAGGAATACACAAATAACTACAACACAAGGGAGAATACAATAAAGTCCCCAAGCATTTGCCTGAAGTTCAGAAATAAGTCACTTCCAGCTAGGGGAACAGAACTTCACAGAGGAGATGATCTTTGAGTTTGGCTTGGAGGGAGCTTGACAGGTGAGGGAAAGAGCATGAGCTGTGCACAGAGATGAAGACAATGCAGGTTCATCCGATGCCAAGAGCATCATGATGGCAAGAGGATTTGATTCAACTGAGCATCTAATGTGTCAGGCACCATACTAGGCAATGAGAATATTAAAATGGGAAAGGTGAAGTTCCTGTTTTTAAGGCTTTTATTTTAATGGAATCAAAGCAAAATTTGGAAAGGCAGATTAAGACCAGATAATGAAAGCTTTTAATTGGTATGTCAGGTTGTCTGAATTTAATTCACTGGGCAATGTGGAGCCATGCAGGCTTTTTAGTGGGCAGGTAGGTAACATGACTGAAGCTGAACAGATAGCAGCAGTGTACAGAATGGGCTAGAGTAGAAAGAAGCTGAGGGCTTATTACCCTTTGTTGTTTTAACAAGATAGAAGTTAATTTCTACCTCAGTTAAAAGGTACCTGGTGTAGGCTTGGAATGGTGGCGCTATAGTTATCACTGTCGTAGCATGTAGCTTACATTCTCATGCTCACCTCATGATCTAATATGGCTGCTAGAGTGTAGTTCATCTCATCTACATTCCAGGCAACAGAAGGAAGGGAAGGAGACGGGGGGGGGGGGAGAAGGTGGAGCACTATGACACATTTCTTAGCTAAATTAGCTCGTTTTAAGCATCCTCCCTGAAAGTCCAGGACAATATTATGTCTTATTGACCATATCAGACTTGAAGGGAGACTTGGAAATAATAGTTTTGGGGTTTTTTTTTTAAATATAGTTTTTTGTGTTTGATTTTGTTTCCTTTTTAAAAAAATGTGAGGTATAATTTGCATACAGTGCACACATACAGTTCGACAAGCATACACCCATGTAACCCACATCCCTATCAAGATACAAAGTGTTCCATCACCTCTAGAAGGGGGCTTTAAAGAAAAAAAAGATAAGCCAAAAGAGGGACTTCCCTGGTGGTCCAGTGGTTAAGAATCTGCCTGCCAATTCGGGGGACATGGGTTAGATCCTTGGTCCAGGAAGATTCTACATGCCTGGGGCAACTAAGCCCATGCACCACAACTAGTGAGCCTGTGCTGTAGGGCCGGCAAGCTGCAGCTCCTGAAGCCCCAGCAGCCTAGAGCCTATGCCCCCAGATAAGAGAAACTATCGCAATGAGAAGGCTGCTCTCCACAACTGGAGAGTAGGCACTGCTCACTGCAACCAGAAAGAAAGCCCCAGCACAGCAACGAAGACCTAGCGCAGCCTAAAGAACCCCAAAGAAAGAATGAAGGGTTAATTAGGGTGGTAGCCGTGGGAATGGAAAGAGCTGGAGAGGCTGTGGAGGGAGAATCCAGAGGAGACTGGTTGGATGTGGGGTGGGTGAAAGAAGAATCAAAGAGGAGGCTGATAGCAGAACAAATGGAAACAGGATGCTGGGTGCAAAATCCAGATTGTTACAGGTGGGATGGAGGAGAAAGAGGAATGAGTACGGCAGTGTGTGTGTGTTGATTTGAGGTACTGATCAGATGTCCAGGTGGAGGCATGCAGTACACAGTTGTGTCTAAAGCTTGGGAGGGCAGTCAGAGCTCAGGCATCATGGACCAGAGAGATGCTAAGGAGGACAAGGCCTAAGAGGTGACTCCAAAACATGATGACTGTGAGCTCACTGATGGGCAGAATCCAGATAGCCAAGGCCTAAGTGGGCAGTGAGGGCTTGAATCATGCAGAAGGGTCACCTGAGATAATAGAAAACTTCTAAAAACTGAAGTCCTTGCACAAACATAAAACGGGTGTATGTAGCTGCCCTTTTGACAGGTTTGTTGAAATAAATGGTACTCTCAGAGGAAAAGACCAGGGATCCACCCCCTCCTTACAGTAAACAGCCCTGGGCTCTTTTCAGCTACCATCCCTAAGGGTGGGGTGATGGGACAGCACCCTCCCTGCCTCCTTTTGGGTATATGACCTCCAGGAATGCAAGCTGAATGGCTGGATGTGGGAGGGGGCTGCCATCTTTGACAACTGCTGGGCTGGGGTGGGCCAGCCAGATCCTGCCAGGATAGGTGTGAGGAAACTTAAGAGGAAAGAGCGTGGAGCAACTAGACTAGACTCAGGTAGTCCTAGGATTGAATCCTGTCTCTCTTACCACCTAGCTAGTTAAGCTAAACTAGCTAGTTTAACTTAAGTAAGTTAAAGTTACTTAACCCGAACACCCAGTTCCTCATCTGTAAAATAGAAACAATTATGTCTACCTTTCAAAGTGGTTTTGAGGATTACAGACGAGTGTCTGGAACACGATAGGTAATCGTAAATGGATGCTAGATGTGACTCAGCCGCTCACTGTGGGACCCAACGAACGGCTAACCGACAGGTCGGAGCCTCACCCTCTGGATCTGAGGGCCGGGAGAGCTCCCGTGGCCGCCTCCCTCCGGAGGTGGGGACTAAGTGGAGGAAGGGCTGCGGGAGGAGGAGCTGGCGCATCGCGACCCGCCCCGTCCCATCCAGTCTGGCCTGGGCGCTGAAGGAACTGCGGTCCCAGCCCCTGTCGTCCAGCGGCTTGCCCTGCGTGCCCTGAGCCCTGCCCGCACCCAGTTATGACTCTGTGCCCCTCACTTCTCCCGCTCCGACTGCTGCTGCTGCTGCTGCTCAGGGGGGCGGTGTGCCGGGCGGAGGCTGGGTCCGAAACCGAAAGTCCCGTCCGGACCCTCCAAGTGGAGACCCTGGTGAGGAGGAGAGAATCCCGGGCGGGCGCTGTGGATGGAGGTCGGGCCCGGTGGCGGGGAAGGTCGGGGTCTAAAGGATCCTGGAGCGGGGAGGAGGGAGTGCGGGCACCGAACTGGGGGGCGCTGGGTCGAGGGGCAGGAACCTTCTTGACTCGTGTAGTGCGATCATAGGTGGAGCCCCCCGAGCCGTGTGCTGAGCCTGCTGCCTTTGGAGACACGCTTCACATACACTACTCGGTGAGGGGCCTGGGGGGCCGCAGCGGGGCCCCGGGGGCGGCGCCCCGCTGAAACACGTCAGCTTTGGCTCGGACACGTGGCAAGCGGTCCGGGAGTAACTCCGGCTCTGGGGTCCAATGGCACGTGGCGGGGGGGAGGGGCGCGCCTCTTCCCTACCTTTTCCCCTTCCCTGCTCTTCCGCAGTGAAGTGAAGGGTGGAGGGATCTCCGAGAAGTGCCAGCCCTTCTGGGGCTTCCTGTTCCTTTCTGCCCGAAAGGGAACGTTAGACTGCAGCTGCCTGGGGGTTGCGGCCCGAGGCCAGGTGTGTGCGCACCCTGCTGGGAGGGAGCGGTATAGGTGTGCGCTCTAGATGCTCTCCCTCCCACCCCCAGGGCAGCCTGGTAGATGGACGCATCTTTGACACGTCTCTGAGCAGAGACCCTCTGGTTATAGAACTTGGCCAAAAGCAGGTGATACCAGGTATGTGAGCTGAACCTCCCATTCCATTTCTTCCCAACCTAAGCCCTTTCTTAGTCTTTTTAACCCCTCAGCTACTTTGGAAATGCGCCCTCCCCACCCCCGCCCCGGGTTCTACCACTCACCTCCTGAGGTTCAAATCCCACTCCTAGTACTCCTCTTGCCGCATACCACATTGGGAAGCCAGAGATTCCAGAAGTGGGGAGCTCAGTTGAGGGTCGTGGGGAGCTCAGTTGAGGTTCATGGGGAGCCTTTGATTTTCTTCTCCCAGGATTTGGGGAATGTAGATAGCTTCCTATTCATTTGTGTCTTCTTCCTCAAGGTCTGGAGCAGAGCCTTCTAGACATGTGTGTGGGGTGAGTATCTGGGCAGGGGTGGTTTTGGGTGTACCCTTTCTGCATGGGTGAAGGCTGTCTCTGCTCCTAGAGGAGGAAGGAGAATGGGCTCTGGCTTGGTACTGGGTAGGTCCTGATCTCTGGGCCTGGGGGCTCTGGATGAAGCCTCAGGCTTTTTCTGGCTGGGGGTTCTTTTGGTGGAGTTGAGACACCTGGGGGGATGGACACCTTGGCCAGCAACCTGTTTGGTGCTCAGGTGGGAAAGTTCATGTTTTGAGTGTGAATATCCAGATGGTTTTGTTGGTGGGACTTCAGATGGACTGAGGTGGTTGGCCCACCAGGTTCTACCCCTGGCTATGACTCACATTCCTTTCCTCAGAGAGAAGCGAAGGGTAATCATTCCTTCTCACCTGGCCTATGGAAAACGGGGATTTCCACCATCTATCCCAGGTAATCTGACGAGGCATCTCTCTGGCTATCGAGATACCCAGTCCCTGGGACTTCCCTGGCGATCCAGAGGTTAAGACTCTTGTGCTTCCAACGTAGAGAGCGCAGGTGTGAGCCCTGCTCGGGGAACTAAGATCCCATATGCCAGAGAGCGCAGCCAAAAAACAAACAAAAAAAAACAGTTCCTAAGAGCTACAAGGAATGCCCTTTGAAGTCTGAGAAGGTCTAAACCCAGTTTGCTAAATGGTATAGGATTGGCGTATGCCTCCTTTTGCAGGGCCACCCTTTTCCTCCTCTGATCACCAGCAAGGACTAGAGACATATAACCTGTTAAAGCCCCCTGGCTTGTCCTCTGGCAGCCGGCAACTTTCTAGGGAGGTGACCCTTGCTTGAGCCACATGAGTCTGCTGCCTGTGCCACCTCTCTGAGAACTCTGGCCTTCTTTCCTGTGCGTTTCCTATAACTAAAGACTGTCATTTGTGCAGCTGACCTGGCTTCTCACCACATCTCCACAGTTCCTTTCAGCCTCTACCAGAGACGAGATACTGAAAACGGTCACAGTCAAGTAATTCAAAACAAAATAAAAACAACATTTAAAAGCCAAGCCTGGGGGCCTCCCTGGGGTTCTAGGTAACACTTCCCCTTCTAATGTTGGGGGTGTGAGTTCCATGCCTCTGGGCCAAAAAACCAAAACAAAACAGAAGCAATATTGTTATAAATTCAATAAAGACTTTAAAAATGATCCACATTAAAAAAAAAAATCTTTAAAAAAGTCAAGCCCTCACAGGTCACTGCTAATACCTATTTTTTAAGTTCTGAGCCTAGACAGATTTTCCAAGATACAGATCTCTTGCTTTTGGTTATAAGAAATGTTCCATTAGCTAAAATGAATTGTACTGGGATAAAAATTCTTATCCTAAGTTCTAGCTTAGAGGGAGACCCAGAGAGAGGGTCAGGGGACTAAAGAGAAATTCTTTTACCCAAAGCTCCTTTGCCTCCTTATCTCCAGTACTGCTTGTTTACATTTCTCCCCCATCTCACTCCTGTTCATTTCTCCATTCCGAATGTCTTAAACCACATCCTGCCTCTCTAGCCATGTTGAAACACCTGTTTTCTTTTTTTTTTTTTTAAGAATCACAGTGAGTGTGCTTATTGGTTGGTGACATTTTAAAAAGTCTAGTTTAAGTCCAATTAATTTCAGCCTTGCAAAGATTCTATCCATGTGGCTGTTTATAGAGATACAGTTAGTACAGAGGTTCTCTAACTTATAAATGGAGAACAGCCTGTACTTTTCACAAAGGTTCTCCTGTTGTGTCAAAGACCTGTCAGTGAAGACAAGCCACACTTGTATATTTGGGATAAACATGACTATCACTTAAGAGCCTCATAACCCTCCTCTGCCTCTCGAATTAAGAGAACTCAGCCCCACATTTAAATCTTGCCAACTTCACAGATGTTGCTGCGGTGTGGTCTGCCCTCCCTATTTGCATTCAGATTCTGAGCCCTGGATACAGTGCACAGGGATTCTAACCCTCACCTCCTCTCTGCCTCCAGCGGATGCAGAGCTGCATTTTGACGTGGAACTGATTGCCCTGATCCGAGCCAACTACTGGCAGAAGCTGGTGAAGGGCATTTTGCCTCTGGTAGGCATGGCCATGGTGCCAGCCCTCCTGGGCCTTATTGGCTATCATCTATACAGAAAGGCCAGCAGTCCTAAAATCTCCAAAAAGAAGCTCAAGGAAGAGAAACGAAACAAGAGCAAAAAGAAATAATAAACAATTTTTTAAAAACTTTGCATTCTTCACTTGATACATTCTGTGGCTGCCTTTGTAAGTGGGAAAGAGATAAAGGGCTAAGGAAAAAGGCATTTTTAGTTGGGTTCTGCTTGGCAGCGGGTTGTCAGAGGCTTTGGATCAGTTCCTCTGGCCTCTTCCTGTCCTAACTTACACCAAGGACTATAGGATCTCTGGGTCCTGAAAGCATGGGTTTTGGCTCCCAGGATGTCCTGACACCAAGGAGCAATACCTCACTGAGAAGTAAGCGTTGGGGTGGTCGCCTGGCTGCCCTCTACTCCCTGTGCTGTGTGTATGCCAAGTCGCTTCAGTCGTGTCTGACTCTTTGCGACCCCATGGACTGTAGGCCCCCAGGCTCCTCGGTCCATGGAATTCTCCAGGCAAGAATACTGGAGTGGGTTGCTGTACCCTCCTCCAGGTGATCTTCCCAAACTAGGGATTGAAACCCGCATCTCTTTCATCTCTTGTATTGGCAGGTGGGTTTTTTTCTTACCACTAGTACCACCTGGGAAGCCCTCTCTACCCCCTAGGGCTGCTGTATTCCTAGTATCCTCCAAGTAGACTGTTTTATCCAACATGGAAAAGATATAGAGAGCTCATAAACTCCATGGTGATTTTTAATAGCAAAGTCCTTGGGTTCCTCAAAACATTATCTGGGAATTGAAAAGAGCTTTTCCCCTTGTATCACAGGGTGTGGGAGCCCACATGGGCTGCTTCAATGATGCTGTAAGTGACTGGAGGTTTTTTGTCACCTGGCTGGGCTGTGGGCGCAGGCAGGAGCTGGGGTAAGTTGCTGCGGTGATTGACAATGAAGAGTGGGTTGAGCTGGCTCAGCACTTCATCACTCACGGAGATGCCATCCAAGTACTGCCTAAGCATCTCCCGCAGCTTCTCATTGATTTCCAACAACTGAACACGTCTGTGCCGAAGGCTCAGTTGCTCCAGTTTCACTTTGTTGTACCTTTTCCAGAAATTCTCCATCCCTTTGTAGTCCATTATCACCTGGGAGTGAGTTACAGGGAGGTGTGTGATAGGATCTGTTAGCAAGTGTAGCCCAGGGCTCTGTCACCCCAGCCTCAGGTGATGGCCTTGAGCCCGTGGAACCTTACCTTTCCAAGTTCTTCCTTAAACTCCTCTGGGTCCATTGTCTCTATCTCTTCCTGCTCTGTGGGAGCCAATGCCGATGAATAAAAAGGCAGCAACTTTTCTTCTTCTGTTTCAAATTTCCTACATATTTCAGAAAGTTTAAGAATCTTTTCACCCTGTTGGAAGCAAGCAGAAACCTTCTATTAGGAAAGGGATTGGGAAGGGGAAATAGTGGAGTTGGTTCCCCTGCTTCAATCCAGGGAAGCTACTTAGCCAAATGGGATATAAAAGTAATACATCCAATACAAAGGGCTTACAAACACTATGCCAAAAATTTAATATTCTTTTAAAACCCATTCACTGTTAACTCATTAAATTGAAGAGGTGAGAGGTGAGGGACTTCCTGGTGGTCCAGTGGTTAAGGATCTGTCTTCCAATGCAGGACACGGGTTCCATCCCTGGTTGGAGAACTAAGATCCCACACACCGTGGAACAACTAAGCCCGGGTGCCTCAGCTAGAGAGCCCGTGTGCTGCAACTACTGAGCCTGTACGCCACAAGTAGAGAGAAACTCGCATGCCACAACTAAGACCCGACGCAGCCCAGAAATAAAAGAAATAAATATTAAATAAATAATATGTGAGAGGGAAGGGAACATGAAATAAAATAGGTGTTCCAAGTGTGCACTCAAGTAGGAAGCTGGGGGAAGCCCTCTGTTTTGCCAGCCCCTTTCACTCTGCAGGGAGCCAGGTTCCCTGGTTCTGTTCTGGCTACCCTCTTCCCTTTGTTACCTTGTCGACAATCTCCCTCAGGGCCTTGAGGGTAGCATTGCTTTCCAGGGTGAGTTTGACTAAGTTCTCCTGTGCTATTGCCCGGGCTTGAGTCCTCTGGGCCTTAAGTTTCCGCAGTTGTACCAGGACCAACTCCTTGTCTTCACGAATGTCCTGATTCTGTTCTTCACTCTCGCGGCTGTGCACCAGGATCTTGCCTTTTAAAATAATGATGGAATCCTAGAGGAACAGGGCAGATTAGAGGAAACACTTGACTACATGAGGGTCTTCACTGAGCAGATAGAAGGACTGTCTGGGGACTGAAATCAGAGCATACCATCTCTCCCCAAATAGTGATGAAGCCCAGGGGAAATGGGAAGAACAACAGAGGATAATGGAGCAGTTAAAGCAGTGAATCGCTCAGGTTAGCTGCACTAACCTGTAGTTTCTGTATTTTTTTCATCTGTACTTCAATCTCTTTGGAGCTTTTCTCGTCCTTCACCTTGAGAGTCTCGAAGGCAATCTTTCGATCCTCTGTGGCATCAGTGTAATTCTTGAGTGCATCCTGGAACCTTCTCCACAGATCTTCTACTATGTTCTCCAGTTGCAGTCTTAGAAAGTGCTTCTCTTCTAAATTCTGGGAAGTGATCCCAAAATAGCCAGTGCTTGAACTTAACCTATTAGTGCCCTTTCAGTGGCACCAACATCTCCCCCTCTTGAACTGTTTGTAGCACAGCATGGTGCAGAGGTTGCCAGTGAAAATGCCTACAAAGACCAGGCAGATGATATAAATAAGTGCTGTGGGCTATGTGGGGCTGGTGGTGAACCCCAGAGGAAATGCCCCATGGTGGTGGGGGTGAGGGCACAGCTGCTCAGCTCCATAGGAATGTCCCCATTTGAAAATGTGCCCCACTGTTTATAATAGCCAGGACATGGAAGCAACCTAGATGCCCATCAGCAGACGAATGGATGAGGAAGCTGTGGTACATATACACCATGGAATATTACTCAGCCATTAAAAAGAATTCATTTGAATCAGTTCTAATGAGATGGATGAAACTGGAGCCCATTATACAGAGCGAAGTAAGCCAGAAAGATAAAGACCATTACAGTATACTAACATATATATGGAATTTAGAAAGATGGTAACGATAACCCTATGTGCAAAACAGAAAAAGAGACTCCTATGTATAGAACAGACTTGTGGACTCTGGGAGAAGGCGAGGGTGGGATGTTTCAAGAGAACAGCATTGAAACACGTATATTATCTAGGGTGAAACAGTTCACCAGCCCAGGTTGGGTGCATAAGACAAGTGCTCGGGCCTGGTGCACTGGGAAGACCCAGAGGGATTGAGTGGAGAGGGAGGTGGGAGGGGGGACCGGGATGGGGAATACATGTAAAAAAAAAAAAAAAAAAGATACACTATGGTTGTGATAAAAAAAATAAATAAATAAATTAAAAAAAAAAAAAGAGCACACACACACAAAAAAAAAAGAAAATGTGCCCCAGTGTTACCAGATCTTTAAATTGTTTAGGGGAAGTTGCAATTTTAGATTTTTTTTTTTGGTGAAATCTCCCAATTTTTAAATGTAGAAAGCTTATCAAAATTTGTATGAAACATTATAGGACAAAATGAAAACAAAGCACTCTACCCTCCCAACCCAGGTCTGCAGACTGGCTAAGTTGGCAGCCTCCAAGGTGGTGGAAGCTCTTGGGGCCAAGTGGCAGGAGAACTAGACTCCCCCCTGGCTTGATCACAGATCAGCAGCCTGACTTTGGCAGGTCATCAAGGTGCTCTTTGGACCTTAATTTCTTCTTCTACAGATCCCAGGGGTGAAGCGAGAGGATCTCCTTGGTGTGTGTTAGCTCTAAAATGCATTTTCTTGGTATTTCAGAATGGTCTTTCCTCCTCACCAATTTTCACAAAATTATAAAAAGCCGCAGGGGTATACCTACAGTGGCAACAGGCATTTTATTGACTGTGTTGGTTAAAGGGATCTCTTCTAGCTCTACTACCTTCAGAACTTTTTTCTCTCTTCTTCCCACCTCCTGCCCATCTGCTCTCCCTCCGTACCTTGTTTTTCAGATCGTCCCACATGCTCTGGAACTCCAGCTTGCTTTCATAGTCAGAATCTATGTAGTTCTGCTCCATGGCCATGAAAACATCTTGTAGGTAGTGAATCTCTTTTTCATGTTGATCAATAATTGTTTTCCTGTAGGAGATAAGATACTGTTCCTGCTCTGAGGCATAAAGAATATAGACCAATAATGACAATGCAAAGCAGTATGTAATAAAACTATATGAATGGTACAAACTCTTAGGTACTGAAGAATAGAAGGAGGGCAGCTTCTGTCCTTTGCAGGGCCAGAAAAAATGAATAATATTAGTTTGATTTTTGAATAGGTAATATATTCATATGATAAAAAAAATAAAAAAGTACAAAAGGTTGCAGTGAAAAGTCTCTTTCCCATCTGTATTGCTGATCCTGTTCCGGATGCCAATTTTCTTCTGTTCACACTGTCCGCACTGTTCGCTGAACCCAGGATAGGTAAGCCGAGAGCTCAGAGGTTGGAAGAAGACGCCAGACACTGTAGGAATTGTAGCCAGGTTTATTCTCTCCTGGCTGGCACGGCAGCTATAACACAGCCTCTCTCCTGGCTGACACTGCAGCCGTAGCAGTAGACATAACACAACACAACATAATTGCACACAACCCTTCTGGGCTTTTCCAGGTGATGCTCATGTAGGCATACCGCACAAAGGAGTCCGGAACCCAGCGAGTACCTCCTGACGCGCACGCGCAGTGCTACAAGCGACCTCTGCAATTACATAATCATTGTTTATAGAACATGGGGCAGAGGGCATGAGAGGGTAGGGCGAGAGGGCCTGAGTGGTGCCATCTCATTAATTTGCCCACACTATCACTGTCCTCCAGGTAGGTAGATGGATAGGATTTTGATTGCTGAAAGTGGGTGGCTGCTTACAGGTAGCATCTTGATATAGGCTCTGGATACACCCCTGGGCTCAACTCCACCAGCACCCCACCCCACCCCCGCCTCTGCGACCACAGCTCCTCTTAGGCCCCCACACCTTTCAGTCTCAAACTCCTTGGTTAGGGCCTC